GTGTATAAAGTTTGGATCTTGAATGGTTTTGTGAAGATGGCTGTGGAGTTGATGCCAGGACACAGAACCCCCGCCGCAGGTTTTACGACAAAAATGGAGGAATACGCTGCACAGGAAGCGGCGGCGGCCGGGCTGCAAAGCGTGGAAAAGCTAATCAGATTGATTTCTCAATCCCAAAACCAGCAAAATTTTCAAGAATCATCGTCTTCGAAACCCATAAATACAGAATACCAAGCGGTTGCAGATGTGGCGGTGAACAAGTTCAAGAAGTTTATTTCATTGCTCGACCACAATCGGACCGGCCACGCCCGATTCCGGCGAGGCCCGGTTCATAATAATCAGCAGAAAATCGAGAAAGGATCTGAGTCGGAACCAGTTGAGATACTGCAGAATCAGCATGCAATACCACAAATTATTTTTGAACGGAAGGAAAAAAATAGTCCCACCGGAAGAATTTATTGTCCGACGCCGATTCAAAGGCTGCCGCCGCTGCCACACCACCATCAGTTGACCAAGAACGGGTCGATTGAGAGGAAAGAATCGTTGACCACCATAAATTTTGCTTCGACGGCGAATTCATTTATGTCTTCGTTGACCGGTGACACAGAAAGCTTGCAGCCCTCGATGTCGTCGGGTTTTCAGATCACCAACCTTTCACAGGTGTCGTCCGCCGGCCGGCCGCCTCTCTCTACGTCGTCGTTTAAGCGAAAGTGCAGCTCAATGGATGACGCAAATATTAAGTGTGATGGTGGGTCGTCCGGCAGTCGTTGCCATTGTCCCAAGAAAAGGTAAAAAGTCAACTTTAAGAATTGAAAGAAAAATCCAAATATGGTCGTATTTCTTTTTTTCAATTAAATAGAGATTTATGATTATATTTGCTTTAATTAGGAAATCAAGGGTGAAGAGAGTGGTTAGAATACCCGCGATAAGCATGAAGACATCCGATATTCCATCGGACGAGTACTCTTGGAGGAAGTACGGTCAAAAGCCCATCAAGGGTTCCCCTCATCCTAGGTGAGTTTGTTATTCGATACATTAAATTGAACATGCACATCTCGTTAAAATCTCGACAATTGAGTGACAAACAATTTAATTAAGTAGTAGATAATTTGATAGTATAACTATCGAGTCAAATCACGTGAGAATAACCACTAAATAATTTATTATTGCATATCGTGTAAAGTTTTGTTTACGAATTTTATGCACGCCCCCTTAGTCAATAGTCATGTGCAATCTATCTAGTGTAGAATGTGGAAACACGATCACGTCGGTGAGATATTATTTGTAATATTGTGCAATCGAGCCATTGACCATGTTATGACTCAAATTATGACTAGTCCAAGAAAAATCTGATTATTTACCTATAATTGGTAAAAAAAAATTCAGGGGATATTACAAGTGTAGCAGTGTTAGAGGATGCCCGGCTCGTAAGCATGTGGAAAGGGCATTGGATGATCCGACTATGCTAATTGTTACCTACGAAGGAGAGCATAATCATGTACAGTCGAGTGCACAAACACCGGCAACTATCGTCCTCGAATCGTCTTGATCCAAGAAAGACGTTATTTGACGGCAGAGATGTTGCAAAGAAAAAGAAAAGAAACTGAACCGAAGATGGGGAACGTTGGATGCTCTCTCCTTCAGCACAAAATGTGTTTGGTCCATTTGTTTATTATTGTCTCTATTTGGTAGTTGAAAAACTTTGATTCTGTGTAGAAAAGGAAAAATGAGAGCAAATTCCGGATTTGGTGAGAATATCATGCAACTAGTAGGGTTTTTTCACCTCTCTCTCTCTACACGCACACACACACTTTTTGATTTTGTCAAAATTTAATTAAAAAGAACTTGCAAAATTTTATTTTATAAAAAAATTAAAATAAAAAAATTGTTCTCCCCCACACCTTATTGTCATCACAACTAATACAAAATTGGTATCCAAGATGGGGAAGACGGTGCGACGGAGGCTGGTGGGGAGAGACATCTTGCTATTATTGGTGGACTAGAGTCGGAAGAAGACTAGGGGTTGAGGAAGCTCGGATCTATTAACTTGACTCGTTGCTCCAATTATATATTTTTGTCACGTCAACACATCATCTCTTTTTAGCAAATAAGAAAATGCTTGACACAATTTTTGATAATTGGAAGCATTATACCTAACTGTTTTTCTTATTTGCTAAGAAGATATGATGTATTGAGGTGTGTAAAAAATATATTGGAGAATATTAGATCTCGATTGATGATGAGAGTGAGAAGAAGGTAGATAAGAGGTTGGCACTTGGCAGAAGTAGAGAAATGGCTTGTTGGCGGGATAGGGAAGGGACAGAGATGTAGTTTTCTTTTTCTATTTTTTCCTTAAAAGAAGATCTCTATTGGAAATCGTAGGGCTTAAAACTCCAAAAATAAAGATTTAAGGACCTAACTCCAATGTAACATGTAGTTTGAGGATCCCTGCTAATTTTTATTTATTTTTTAATAACATGTTGATTCTCGTTGTCTTCCTTTTGTATTTGGTATCGAGTGATGCAATCTTTCACTTGTTCCAGTTCCAATTTCCACTAGCCAATTTTTTTAAACAAGGATTTTCCATTAAAACACTTTAATTTAATCTAAATCCAATCATATAACTCATATTTAGTGCATGGATTGGTGAATTCGATTTGTGCTAAGTGGAGATCATTAACATATATTATAGACATTGTTAGTCAATTAAGAAATAATTAAAAAATTGGTCAATACATTATAGTCTAATGAGAACGTGTCGTGTATGGAACGATTGGCAATTTATTTAGAGTTATTTAGGAAGAAAATGAATGAATAATAGTGGGTGGGGGAGAGAATTTGGACTTTTTTGAGTGGAAATTATTGTACAATATTTGAGCTTTAATTGGAATTTTTAAAGTCGAATTTTATTATTAAATAGTGTTAGGTTTATTATTAAAAACACACACATGAAATTTAAATTAGATAGAATTGAATATTATTAATCCGATCCGATCCTACTCAAATAGTTTCCCTTATCAAGTTGGTAGAAATTAATGAAGACAAATCAAGAATCTCCATTGCATTTCAGGAATCTTATTTTATATATTCGTTTCAATCATCAACTCTTTTTAAAATTCATATATTTTTTTCTAAATTATGAGTGAATGGTCGAGATTGAGATCAAGTGTAGATTTGGCACTAACATAAATTCCAATAGATGTTGGTTTGGACGACTTATAAAAAATATATTTGACTAGCCAGCATTCATCGGGCAAGGTCGACGCAAAGTCACGTGAAATAGTGGGAATAGAATTTGATATTAGTCTTATGATTCAGCATTCCTTTGTCAAGTTGTATATTTCCATATATCTAAAATGTTAATTAATTCGTCTAAAACTTTAAACTATTTTTACTTACAATTTATTTTCGATCATATATCTAATACATGTACGACTTATCTATAATATATTAAATATCAAATCAAGTGAAAAATTATTTTTATTTGGACGATTTTAGATTTTTTATAATTCAATTATTTTAATAATACCATACTTTTCATTTTTTTAATATGTAATAAATACTACAAAATCATTGTCACGTATGAATTTCGTGTTATTAATTCTCAATTAATTAACATTTACATTAATTTAGACTCAATTAATCTTGATCTACATGAACATAGAGTTGTTATAGATGAATTTATTTATATTCATGTATCTATGAATTTTAATGGGTGTTCAAATTCATATATTAGCAACTAATTCTTACCAAATGTAATATAAAAATGATGTTCATTTGTAGTTTTCATCATTGTGAAAAATTTGAATCATAGGATTAAGTTCTAAGAGTATAATTTTTCTTTTAAATTTCTATCCTAAATTTTATTTTCTTTAGTTCGTTTGAAACTCATCAAATCCTCCAAACAAATTGATATCAAATATTACTCTAACAGTACTTATAAAAATTTTATAATAACGTGCAATGCACGTTCAACTCTGACTAGTAAAAAATAATATATCTGTCATTAATGGTATTTCAAGACCAATCTAAATAGCAATGGAGCATGTACCCAACAATTGATTGTCAATTGTGTTCGTTTAATGATAACTAATTGTGGAGAATGTGGGAACCACTGTCACCAAGATTGGTGTTGAACATTATAGATAGGCATTACTTTTTATAAACGAATGGTTAGTTGCGATTGAGGAGCGATTAGAGATTCTACTTACATCATAATTCATAGCCCATATAATCTAATATTTGAACTATACGTCTTGTCCATCTCTACATGTTTTATTGAAATTTTTCTCATTCGTTGCAAACTTTGCCGAATATATTACTATTTTACATTCTGGCTAACATAGGATATGTATACTCCTGCGTAAATTTTTACTACAATCGAAACGTGATAAATGATCGCTTTTTCCTCTTAGCCTTTGTTTTTGAAGTGTGCAGCCTTCAATACAATTAATTATTTTAATACTACTAGTCTTGCCCTTGCCCTTGCAATGATGTGTTGCATTATAATGAACGAAATGTTGAAGAATTTAATATTAAAGATTGAAGATTTGTATCTGTACATGTCAGGGTGTTGCATTTTAGATAATGAAGGAAATTTCATTTTCTTGAATATCATCCATGTTTATTATACTTCTCGTGCAAATGTCATCATTTCATTTCAAATATTCCAACAAAAATAATTTGAATGATCGAATCAAAATAGCATGAATGAAGGTATAAAATTTGGACTTGTGGCGAAAAAAGAGCAGGAAAACATTAAATTGAATATTAATAAATAATTATATTACTAATCATCTAGATAATGTTTATGATAAAACAAAAGATCTGAAAGTAAAAAGGTTAATGTTTGAAATGGAATAATAAGACACAATTGTTAATTTAAGGCATTAGATACATAAAATATTCTCCATCACTTGTATCTAGTATACATTTAGAGTCTGAATAAAGTTTACCAGTTCTTCACAACTGTTTGAGCACCAAATGAAAATTGTGAAGGATAAGTGCAATGCCAGGTAACAATTGCAATGCCCATAGTCATAAGAACAATGGAGATAATAAGCGGGTTTTTCAATCTTGGTTCAATTTCTTTGACAACCTTGATTTCAAAAAATTCAGAGGCAAAAAGGGTGGTAATTAAGCAAACAAGGATTATAATGGAACTAATAAGCAGTCGATAACACATTGCAGTGAAGTCATGAGTCAATCTCAAAGAGGAGATGGAAGCCACTACAAGAGTAGTACATGATGGTTCTGCATATCAATCAAAAAGATCAGACCCCATTCCAGCAATATCCCCAACATTATCACCGATGTTGTCGGCAATCATGTACAACGCACAAATTTAAATCATTTACAACTCATTCCCATGTCAAAAGACGTGACATCAGGAAAGCATTGTATCTTATAGTTGGATTCCTGGGGTCATCTTCTAGAATATTGCTTTCATTCTTCACAACAAGATTAGCATCAACGTCAGCAGCTTTGGTGTAAACACATCCTCTTACTCTCCCAAAAAGAGCCATGGAAGATCCACCGAGACCATAGTTAGTTATTGCCTCATAGAGCAAGTGGGCTTCTTAGCAGCCTTGGTGTAAACACCTCTCCCTACTCTCCCAAAAAATGCCATAGAAGATCCATTGAGACCATAACCAGTTATTGCCTCGAAGAGCAAGAGGCTTTCCAAGTGGTCACCATAATACAGCTTGAAGAGATTGATGGTAATGTATAGCACACATTTTCTCGCTTCCAATGTAGTTCTTGCATTTACATATGTAGTAATTTTCATCCAAAGAAAACCAAAAAGGACTAAAGTGACAACACCAAGCAAAAAGTATACGATGCTAAGAAGTACTTGCAAGAGCAGGCTTGCACAACTTTTCCTTGTCATACGTACAAGGTTGTCTCTGTGTACTGAAACCTTCCACGGAGCCCAGTAACGAAAAGATTTTTATTGCAAAAGTGACCATGAATATTCCAACATCTTGTTACTCCGTAAATAATAAAGACGTTGTACATGTTACAACCATACATAGTAGACTCAATAAAACTTAGCTATCAATATAACCTAACCTTGCAAGATATACAACACGAAACTGGACTTATTAATAATAATTTGCAGAATAATCACAAAACAATGCAATAATGAAACATGTTACTAATTAAAAAAAACGTGAATAATAAGTTTTCCTATAATGATAATATCTTCTTCTACTAAATTAATTTTTAAATTTCCAATTATTTTAATACATCATTTTCAATTTGAAATAAAAATTATTTTTAATTTATACTTGTTGGTGCATTAGTCCAATCATTGATGGAGTAACGGGTCAAGTTCGAAAGCGATGATATAAATCGAACATTTTTAACCGTAACAACTTGTCTAGAGCTCAGGAAATCGTACAAGCCATTGAAGAAAGGCCTTTTCATGAGATGACAATGTTTCTTGGCAAATTCCTTTTAGGGAACCAAAATCTTAATTACCACAAGCTTATAACTATACTTAAACCTCACTTGATGAAAAATTCTTATAGTATCTTTCTATCATGATTGTAAGGCTTTTCTTCCTAGACAAGTAATCGATGATATTTAGTATTGTCTTATTTGCAGCAATTAAAATTTCCAATTCATGAGATACAAGAACGATTTATTTTTTAAAAAAATATTGTAGTTAAAGTTTAAAATAGCATAAAATATTTACACTTGTGTGTATAGAAGAAGAGGAGGGAGGCAATGAGATAGAATGGGAAAATTCTCTCTCTCTCTCTATATGCTATCATAACATTTGTCTTAATCACCTGTTCTATCATTGGCAATAAGAATCCCATTAAAGCTAAGGACAATATGTTAAGTAAACTAAACAGCAGAAAATCGTATAAAATGGTTCAATTCATATCATAAACTTAGCTTAGGGGATATAATAAGTTCTGAATCAAATAATAAGAATCTTAAAATATTTATGAGCTCGTCAATGAGAAGATAAGAAACAACTATTGCAAATCAATAAAAAATCTAAGATAAAATACATAGTGCAAAATATCACACACTTAACAATCTTAATCAATTTCATGCATCATAAGGATGTTGTGAACCAAAAGTTGGAAGAATAGAGGTTGCTGGAGTAACAGCTCCAAAGCTAAAATAAAAAGGAGGAGAATCTATAACATGTGCAATAGCAATAAGAGGGTTAATTACTGTAT